TTGTGGCCTCTCCCGTTGCGGAGCACAGGCTCCGGACGCGCAGGCTCAGCGGCCATGGCTCACGGGCCCAGCCGCTCTGCAGCATGTGGGATCTTACCGGACCGGGGCACGAACCTGTGTCCCGTGCATTGGCAGGTGGATTCTTAACCACTGTGCCACCAGGGAAGTCCCTATTGGCCATTTTTATTTCTTCATTTGTGAATTATCTCAGTACTTTGCTCATTTATCTATTATCCACAATACGACTAGTTATTTTATTACAAAAGTAACTAAAAAGTAATGAAGACATTGTAAAATAGATTAGAACATTTGAATATTTATAGTGTTTTATAACATGCTGTTTAAATAACTCAATCCAATACATTGAGAATATCTTTCTATGTCAACCAGTGTATATCTAAGCCATCATTTTTTTTTTACTTTTTTTTTTTTTTGCGGTTCGCGGGCCTCTCACTTTTGTGGCCTCTCCCGTTGCGGAGCACAGGCTCCGGACGCGCAGGCTCAGCGGCCATGGCTCACAGGCCCAGCCACTCCGCGGCATGTGAGATCTTCCCGGACCGGGGCATGAACCTGTGTCGCCTGCATCGGCAGGAGGACTCTCAACCACTGCGCCACCAGGGAAGCCCCACAGGCTTGGTTTTGCAGACACTCCAGACTGTCAACTCAGCTCTTCAAGCATAGACATGGAGCTTGCCACACCAGCCGAGAAGAAGCATGGTGCTTTTACTTCTTTTCATCTCTATCCCTATGAGGATTTGCTATGCATAAAAGTAAAGTGTGCAACTAGAGATTATCATACTAAGTGAAGTAAGTCAGAAAGAGAAAGACAAATACCATATGATATCACTTATATGTGGAACCTAAAATATGGCACAAATGAACCTATCCTATGAAAGAGAAACAGACTCACAGACATAGAGAACAGACTTGTGGTTGCTAAGGGCAAGTGGGGAGGGAGAGGGATGGACTGGGAATTTGGGGTTGGTAGATGCAAACTATTACACTGAGAATGGATAAACAACAAGGTCCTACTCTATAGCACAGGGAACTATATCCAATCTCCTGGGATAAACCATAATGTCAAAGAATATTAAAAAAAAGAATGTGTGTGGGCTTCCCTGGTGGCGCACTGGTTGAGAGTCTGCCTGCCGATGCAGGGGACACGGGTTCGTGCCCCAGTCCGGGAAGATCCCACATGCCGCGGGCACGTGAGCTGTGGCCGCTGAGCCTGCGCGTCCGGAGCTTGTGCTCCGCAACGGGAGAGGCCGCAACAGTGAGAGGCCCGCGTACCAAAAAAAAAAAAAAAAAAAAGAATGTGTGTATGTGTAAAACTGAGTCACTTTGCTGTACAGCAGAGACTGGCAGAACATTGTAAATCAACTCTACTTCAAGAAAATAAAAGTAAAGTGTAGAGAAGCCATCTTTACAATGTGTTGCAAACACTTTTCAATAAGCTCTAACAATATAAACATTTTCAGACTCAGATTCTATCTCATTATGCACACCTTTTATTTATTTTTACTCCTCAAATTCCTTTGGTTGTATCTAAAAATCTAGTGAATTTTCTGAATCATGTTTTCGACATCACATATTCCACTTAACACCTATAATTTATAGAGTTAAAAATCAACTTTAAGTACAAGTGGATTTTCATTGTTTAAACATAAGATCTATGTTCTAAAGAAGGGCAAATGAGAAGTTCTTTGGGTGTGGTTTGTGACAGGATATTAGGGTGGAACCCAGAATTACACAGGAAATTATAGCTTGAGAAAATGTAAGACGGTTTAAAATAGAGAATTTATAAGGAAGGAAAGTGGTATTTTTTTTCTTTCCATTCCCAAAGCGTTGCGTGTGGGAGGCTTAGATTCAGAAGAGAAAGGATTTAAGTATTGCAAAGAGCTCCCAGGCCACCCTTGTCAAAAGATAGAAGGGATGTTGCAGAATTTGGTACTATGAGAACAAGTACCAAACAACAATTTCGTACTATGAGAACAAGAACAAACAGGAACTGACAGGTTTTAGCTAGTTTTTACAGGCATGTGTAGATATTGCCAAATTCTTAAGTTTCTAAATGACGTCATCCTCCCAACAAATTTCTTAAATGATGCCTTAGCAAACAAGCAATTCTATCCTAACGATGTGTTTCTGAGTAAAATGTTGACTCACTCAAAGGATACAGATTAGAAAGAGAGAGAAGAAAATGCTCTGTGGGAGGGGCAGAGCTTTATAAAACCAGTCATCGCCATGCCTGAACTCTTAACAATTCTCAGAGGACCGTTTCTTGTCAGACAGAGAATAACCAGGTATTTCAGTCATTTCCATGTCTATCTCTATGAAATATGGTTTTATTTTGCACACTGGTATTATTAATATAATGAAAATTAAAATGTGGGATGTTTTTAGAAGATGGGTGAAAATTTACTGGTGTTTTCTTGTTTTGTTGTTTGTTTGAGAATATTTTAGTTCTAGATTTGAATTAAATTTATAGCAAGACCTAATCTTAAATCTCAGAGGCCAGCAAAGGCCTATGTAACATTCATCAAACCAAAAGGTACATTTAGGTTGTGATGTCAATTTTACCAAACAGCTTAGAATGTGTATATTCTTTACTAGTTAGTGTTTGGCACTGAATTTGATGAGAATAGCTAGACCAATTAAAATGTATTAATTTAGCAACTGAAAGTAATCTATAAATTGTGTATACATATAATAAAGGCAAAAAAGATGACTCAGTTTTTAATCTAAAACAATCAGAAATTAAGCAGGAAGCTGGGTTGGGTCAGTTCAATACCAAAATACCTTTATTGAATTTAGTTCAATAATCAGTCAATCTAGTGAGAGGGGAAAAATCAGCCAAATTAGTTGCTGGATTGACTGAAGTAATAGTTCAGTAATAGTAATAAATCATTTAATACCCCATAGACAAACAATTACTCATGATGAAAGCCATCAAATATCAGAAAATGTCTTTACTTTTGTGGGGGGAGAAGTTGGTAATTTGAAAGGGAAATTTCCTTGAAGTTATTGTTTTCTCTGTGTTCTCATTAATTTTTGTGGTCAATTTCAGAATATCTGCACTGTGTCGTTGCAAAAAAAATTATTTAAAATGCTACAGCAAACTGAAATCTAACCTGCGATGCCAACGAGCACAGCAACTGTTGTAGTGGCTCTGGCAGCACCTCCCAAGTTCTTTGTCACCTGTGCCAAGTTTCAGCGGCACATCTGTCAACTTGTTTTACAGGAATGGACACAGACATCGTGGAGCCCAGCCCCACATATGCTTTTCATCCATTTGTTCTTCTAAAGAGAATATTCAATGTTGATTAGGAATATAACCTCCGGAAGCTGATAAAGTTGTGTAACTCTGGTGTTAAGAAATTCACAACAGGTGCTACCTAAGAGGTTATGCTATCTGATGTCACTCAGTGATTCAGTTTCACATGGTCTTAGGCAGACTCTCACCTAAATGTAAGGTGTGGATTTGTTAGAGAATCAGAAGACACTATATATATATATATATATATATATATATATATATATATATATCTAAAAATATAAACTTCTCAAACCTTATTTGAAAGGTCTGTAGGAAAAGCGCTAGAGTTGGAATCAGAAGGCTGAGATTCAATCTAGGCTTTGAAACCAGCTGTGCAATCAACATCTTCATATTTTCATTGCTATAATAGGAATTACTAGGTTTAGTGGGCAAGCAATTATGCAAGTTAAATAAAGCAGTGAGGCCGAAGGAATTTGGTAACTGCAATATAGACAACACATATTATTTTTTATGTTAAATGCAGTTAATTGTACCTGACCTTAAAGATAAAATTTAGACTACTTTTAAAAGAAGTACATGCATCTGGGATGATGTAATTCTGTCCTAATTTATTTTTTATTTTTTTATACAGCCAACTGAAATCCTAACGTGGCATTAAAACCCTCTCTGATAGTTTGTCTTGACACTTAAAGTTTGTTAGTGTCAAAGTGACAGACTATGGAGGTCGTTTTAAAGAATTAGGTATAGGAGAGGCCTCCATTGATTTTTCTGGCTCTGATCCCTTATTTATTTTTTCACACAATAGAGAAATATTTATTTATATTATTCTCAGTTTGTTTCTGAAACGTTACTGAGATAATTTACAAAAAAAGGTCTACCCAGGACTAATTCATCATAAAGATGATTTTAAATTGTAGAAGGAAGAGAAAACAAATTTCTGAGCCACCCAAGGTAATCTAATCTCAGTGATGAAGCAAGAGAAAAAAATAGTGATTTTAGTTTTTTAACTTAATAAGCCTTCTAGGAGTATTACAAACTTGCTTCCTTCCTCTTTTTATCTCCTCTTTCTAGCATTTCTCTAACTAGTAACTGGCCTAAACTCCTACACACAGCAGTGAGGTTAAACACCAGCAAGTAAAGCAGTGAGCGACACTGGACAGAGTGGGTTTCTGAAGCAGACCTGCACCATTACATACAAACTCTGTGACCTTATACAAGTTGCTTACCCTCTCTGGACATCAGGATGTAACCTATACAGTAAAGATCCTAATATCTACCTCATACAGATCCCATGAATATTAAATATTAAAGGAGACAAGAAGACATGAGAGAGTTCTGGGGACAAGTTTTACCTAATTTACTATTTTGTCTTGAAAAAATACAATTGAGTGGTATTTCCCATAAGAAATTTTGACTCAAATTGCAATCACTTTCTTCAAAAGAAATGTTGGTGAACCAAGTGTTCACATAAAACACCCATGGATTAGGGTGATGTGAGCCTGGGAGGCCCTGCTGAGTGAGTCCAAGCCTAAAGAGCTGCAGGACGCGCCTCATGGGGCATGGGGCAGCTCCCCAGCCACTGTCACAAGAAGGTTTCCTGTAGGATGATGAGCGTCAGCGTCGCTTGGTGTATTTATAGATTTTGGTAATTGCAGGGTGTGTTTTAAGCCGCTACGAAAGCATAAGATACAGTTTGTCGGCCAGAATCAACAGGTGTGTCCAAGCGTTTGGCTGCATGCAGAGCCTTAGGTCATGGAGGGCGTGTCTGTTATTTATCTTCAGATGGTGGATGGGGTGTGTGTGTGTGTGTGTGTGTGTGTGTGTGTGTGTGTGTGTGTTCTATAGCCCCAGGACCACCCCTGCAATGGGACCTGGCATTGACTTCCCTACTAGGGATGGTGGGAGGAGGGGGCCTTTCCAGCTCTCCCAGTAATGAACTGCTCAGCTCAGGGGTTGCTTTGGTAGAAAGGCTATGGTGTGTGTGAGTGGAGGGGTGCAGGTATGCGAGGTAGGGCTGTGTAAAAATGCCCACTCTCAAACGGTGAGTCTAGGTCACTTCTAGAAGCAAGGAATTTGAAAGAAGTTTGACCATCTCCATTGGCGCCAATCAGAGTGTATATGCACGTGGCATACATGTGAATATGCATGTATTTGCCTGTGGGGTGTGTGTGTGTGTGTGTGTGTGTGTGTGTGTGTGTGGTGTGTATCTGTGGGTACAACACAGAGGCTGAGAACATGACCCTGGAGGCTGGCTACCCACCTACCACCTTCAATTTCCAGTCCTTCCCCTTATAGTCGAGTGACACTGGTCACTTTTCTTCTTCTCTCTGGGCAGTAGTTTCTTCCTTTGTAAAACAGGAATAGCAATGCCTTCCTCATAGGGTTTCCATAAAGATTAACTGGTTACTACAGGTGAGATGTTTAAAACAGCATCTGTTGTACAGTAAGATTTCGATAAAGGCTATTTATTGTTATTGTTGTTATTATCATTATTATGATGTGGAGTGTCACTGCTCATCACATGACTGCTCCCTCTATCTCAGGATTGGCTACGTGATTTGCAGTAGCCAGTGCAAAGGAAAATGCAGGGCCCTTTGTTTAAAATTATTAAGAATTGCAAGGTTGTGGGAGCAGTGCATTGTACCGAGTGTGGGACCCTTTGTGGCTGCACAGGTCCCAGGATCACGATGATGCTGTCCCTGCTCTACCTCATGCTCTTGGATGAAAGGAGAACAGAGAGGGAACCCCTGCCCCATGCAGGGTACAGCCTGTATTACTCTGCTGACATCACTCAAAATGTTGAGTCATCTTTTAGAGCTGTTTATTTTTTTCCCCTCACTTTCCTTCTAGATTGAAACAATGGAAGAACTTTACAAGGCAAACACAATCTTTGCCCTCAGTTTCTTCAGCCATCTGGCAAATACAAGTGCTGCCACCCAGAATCTCTTCTTCTCTCCATGGAGCATCTCCTCCACCATGGCCATGATCTACCTGGGTGCCAGGGGCAACACTGCAGACCAGATGGCCAAAGTAAGTTTCTGTTAAAGTTCCAAATTAGAACAGAATGATTCCTGAACTGAATTGTAGAATTGCTCTGATTACATGTCTGAGACATCTTGACTCTAACAAGGTCAGCAATCATCACAAGCCATTACAACACAAGTTCCTTAGATTCAAATCTATAAAACAGCCAAACCACAAACACCCTCAGTGGTGGACATAGCAGAAATCGGACCAGAATTTCTTATCCTGCAAGGTTAGAAAGGGTTAATAGTGACAACGTCTTATATTTGATAGTATAAATGCTTATATTTTTCAAAGTATTTGCAAGCTTTATCTCTATTGGTTTTAAGACAAGTGTCATTTAACACAGTGGGGAGAGTGGCAGTGGGAATGAAGCACTTTTCCCAGGGCTTCTTCTGGTTTCTGCCCTCCTAGCTCAGGTTCCTTCCATTCATGTAAAGAATTCCTTCCAGTGGTTTTAAGAGAGTGTCACCAAGGGAAAAGATATCCCAGACCCGTGATCTCCGCACTCTGGGAGATGCACAGAGAGCAGTGTGACTTCAGAGGACCTCAGCCAACATTCTCAACCCCATGAGTTCACGTCAACAAAATGGGGCTGACGTGATGGCCAGTCCTCAAAGTCAAGGACAGGGTGTGGGACAGCATTGTGAGCTATTTCTGTTAAGGCCACTGGCTTCCTTCCTTGGTGAAGGAAGCTGACACCAGCTCAGTCAGGGGACCCTTTCACTAAGTCTGGGGCCATGGAAATATATTGAACTACTTCAACTGTACATGGCAATGGTCCTATGGGATGAATTCAGCACCATTAAAATTCACATGATCCTGTATTTCCCAGGTCAGTGACCAGACAAAGTAATATATAATTAAAATTCTTTCCTATTCCCATATGTACAAACATTAAAATTGAATGCTTTAAGTACAGGCTCTGGTTTCTCACCAACACGGACTCTGTTTTCAGCCACGCCAAAATGCTGCTGGCTACTTTTGACTTTCCCAGGAGAACGGCACCTGAGTGTGTGCATATAGATAGATGGATACCTCCTTCCAGGTACACGGTGACCCATTTAAGATGGGCCTTGTTTGGAGTGGCCCACAGAGAGTGTTGGCCTATCTCACTGCAGCAGGAAAAGGGATGGAAGTGTCACTCCCTGCGTTTGTGGCAGTTTAAGCATCAAGACTTACAACAAAACCCAGTTGCTCACATCTGAGAGCAGCAACATTTTGCAAAACTCCTTCCCTCTATTTTCTTTGCCTTGAAAAGAATAAGCGCAGTGAACTCTATTAAAAACTTTAGAAAACATCAGGGTCTTCATTTTTTAGATGTAAAGGCATCAGAAGCAATGTTTCTTTGAGGACAAATGCCAAATGAAGTGCTCTAGGTACGTAAAGTAAAAAACGTGATTTTGATACAAAAGGAAAATTAACTTATTGGTCACTCGACACAACACAGCTTTTCTGTGTTTGGCAAGTGCTTTCAGCACATGGGACAAGGGGTTTATATAGTTTTCTTGTAACTGTGCTGCATGGGCAGATTTTAAAATTCAAAGACAAATTTGGTTAATTCCCTACTAAAAAACGAGGAGAAGCTCTTTGCTTGGAGGAGGAAGCAGGGATTTTGGGGACAGGCCTGCCTGTGTTTGGGTGGTAACTTTGCCATTTACCAGGTGTGTGAGGGAAGGCATTTCAACTCTCTGAGCCTCAGTTTTCTTTCTTTTTTCTCTTGTGGTACGCGGGCCTCTCACTGTTGTGGCCTCTCCCGTTGCGGAGCACAGGCTCCGGACGCGCAGGCTCAGCGGCCATGGCTCACGGGCCCAGCCGCTCCGCGGCACGTGGGATCTTCCCAGACCAGGGCACGAACCCGTGTCCCCTGCATCAGCAGGCGGACTCTCAACCACTGCGCCACCAGGGAAGCCCAGTTTTCATATTTTTAAAAGGAGAATGAAAATGCATAGCCGGCAAGATGGGTGTGAAGATTAGAAAGAATAGGAGAAGCACGTGTTAGAACTAAAAGTTACCATAGCTGACACTTATAGTGCCCTGGCCAGGAACCTTTCTAAGAATGTTTTATAGTTTACCCACAGAATACAAAATCCTGTGAGGCAGGTGCTCTGATTACCATAGTCCTTTCATAGAAATGAGAAATTTAGGGCAAGAAGAGGCCACACAGTTGGGAATTGATATAGCTGGTAAAGGTGACATAGTTGTAATGGAATAAAGGAATGCGTAGAAGGGATAAACTCTTACAGAGCACAAGCGATGTGAGATCAGCAGTTATACTGTTACCAACTCTTCTCTTTAGGGTAGGGCCACGGACCTGCCCAGGCTGAGCCGCCTCTCTGGGCAGGGTGCATCCCTCAGCATGGCCCGGGTCACCTCACATCCCCCCTCCTGCAGCGACTCTCGCAGTGACTCGGGAGGCCTTTAGTGCTAGCTCCAAGACCCCATCAATCTCCTTAAAAGGGAGGACAACCGGAGAATCTGTTACATGAAATATTCTTCCCTTACGTGGCAGCAGAGTCAGACCACTTCTTTTCAAAGAGTATTAGGTAAGACTCATAATGTGTGATCTGAAGAGCAGAGAGAGACCCCACAAATCCTAACACCTCTCCTTCCAGCCTAGAGATTCACCACCTGCTGGACAAGCCTACCTTTCCTTCCTTAGCAGAACGTCTACCTCACCTGGGACCCCACGGGGATGGGACCCAAAGGATGTTGGAGGTGGGAGTGGGTGCGTAGCAGGGCCAGGCTCGGGGGTGCTGAGACTGGCTGAGCCAGGCTGGGAAGGTTCCAGTTTGGGGGAGGGGACCTGAGGGCCCTCCCGGGGCCAGTGTGCACCTACCAGCTTCACTGTTATTCTGATCTGCCACTGACAACATAAAGAGATTCATATTGTCATCTTACCTCTGCCATTTGCCCCCACATGGACAGACGTGTGGGAATTCTTTATGTGTAAATAAGGTATGCGCAAATATTTTAGGTGATCCCTGTAATATTGAGCGACCTGCTTTCATGTTTAAGCTAGCTGTGGCTTGTAGTTTTTGACAGGTTAGAAGTGTGTAATATATAAGGCCACTGAATAGAGAGATACAAGGTTGGGAGTTAACCTTATTGCTTCCTTCAGAATACTGGCATGTTTTCAAGGCAACTTATGGGTTGGGTTATAATTTAGATAATTTAGAGGCTATAAATCATCTCATCATAACAATTTGCCGTCAGAATGGCAAGCATATGAATTAGTATAAAATAGTTCGTGCTGAGTCCTGTGAAGGACACTTCCGCTGGCTGACACATGTTACATATGAAGAGCATCTATGCTTGTTACCATACACAAAGGCAGGAAACGAGAGCAGGACCACTAAGAGGAGCTTGAGAGCCATTGGTTTAAAAGTTACGTAATGCAGCAGGAAAATGTACCCAATTCTCTGGAATTCCAATTGTAGGTGCTTCAGTTTAACAAAGGTGGAGACCACAAAGTCGCCCCAGACACCCAAGAGATCTTCACCAGTTGTGAATTCACACAGAAGATCCAGAGGGGCACTTATCCTGATGCTATTCTGCAGGTATCTGACTCATCCATTTCTATTTCTTTTGTATTTTATTTCCAGAATATTCTTGTCTAAAAATCACAGTATTAGACAGGGAAGGAACCTAGTACAACGTCCCTCCTTCATAGAAAGAAAAATTAGGCTCACAGTCCTTGAGTAAATATCCTACTCTGATAAGTAAGGGCAGAGCCAGGGTAGAATCCAGACTTCACGACTTCCAGGCCAAGACTATTTCTAAATTCTATCACCCCACTCTGCCATTAGTTGGGGATGTATAATTTATTCTAATGCCATTGTAGAGACTCCTAGAATACATATGCATAGATGCAGATTTCCAGAGTAAGGGCTGACAAGTAATTGAGGAATGGAGAAGGCCAGGCTTGGTGACTTCATGAAAGGTCACTGACCCTCAAATATCCTTTATGTCCTCCCCTTCTATCTCCTGTGATCTATCTATCTATCTATCTATCTACCTATCATCTATCTATCTACCTACTATCTATCATCTATCTATCTATCTATCTAATCTCTTCAGCTAATCTATCTCACGTAGTCATTTCTTTTCCCAATACTCCATTTTCTTAAACACCAGCTATCCAGCTACATTGTAGGAGCTGGGCGTAGACGCGCTCCTATGGGTAAACAACTTCCACGATCAGACTCCTGAGTTGGGTTCTGGGGAGATACCCCACATAGCTTTCTTCTTGGGAATCCTGATGCTCCATCTGCCTGTCAGCCAGGGAGTCATGGACTTTGGCGGGGAAGAGGGCCCCTTCAATATGGAGATGCTGCCAGGTCTGAATGGACAGCAGTCCAGCTGCAGGGCTCTGACCTCTGCTTCACCCAGGCGCTGCTGTGACTAAGCCCTGTTTGTGTCATCCTGCTTACAAACTTCAGGTTGGGGATTGGAATTTCCCTCAATTTCCTGCTTTCTAAAACCCAGATTTTCCACTTCACAGACTACCCCTTAATTATAAAACGGTACTTGCAGAAGTTATATGAACTTTTTAAAGAACACTTCTAAGGCAACATTTTAATATAATAAAAATTGCTTACAGACTTTGTAGTTCAGGAGACTGTAAAAGGAGCCTGACTTTCTTCTAGGATCTTTGTTACTTCATGGTTCAATCCAATCCATAGGCACAGTAAAATCTGAAACAAATAAGAAAATTATCTGATATTATCCATATCAACAATATTTCCTCAGAGATTCCTCTAAAGTGCCAGAAAAAAGTATACTTTAATACAGCATTTTATTGACGTACTGGAAAAAATACCATTGCTTAAGAAATATCTTGTTTAGGAGTCTTGAGTTACATAAAGAGAGTCTCTCCTTTCTGTTTAAGGCACAAGCTGCAGACACAATCCATTCATCCTTCCGTTCTCTCAGCTCCGCCATGAACACGTCCACAGGGGAGTATTTATTGGAAAGTGCCAATAAGCTGTTTCGCGATAAGTCTGCAAGATTCAGGGAAGTAAGTGAAACGTGCGATTTAAATGGCAGGGCCCCAAACTTACAAGGAGCTCAGTTTTAAAGCTGTTCTCTCTTATTCATGCTGAGAGAGTCAGAATTCCACATGGGTTCCCTTAGACTCCCTAAGGCCATTGGACACTATCCAACACAGCTATCCCTATGCTCCCTCTGTGGGTGCTTTCTCTCCCTGCTGCAAAATTCCCACCTATGAGTCGTAAGTCAGGAAGAGCACAGCTGATTTCCAGAGCCTCTATCCCCACACCCAACTTCTCCCCTTGTACCCAGTGGTCATAATGCAAAGCGTGCAGGACAGCAAATAGAATTGGGACTGGAGTTGGGGGTGGAGGTCAAGAGAACACATATAATCAGCCCCCCTAGCCAACCTCCACCCCTACCCCTACCTCAGGCTCCCCAGTCTTGACAGGAAGCCTGTAATTTATAATCACACCAAGGCTTGTTCAGTATATATTCTATGTAAACTTTGTCTTTTTTTTTTTTTTGCTTTAAAGGGATACATGCAGCTCTCCAAGAAATATTACTCTACAGAACCCCAGGCAGTTGACTTCCTAGAACGTGCAGAAGATGCCAGAAAAAAGATTAATTCCTGGGTCAAGACTCAAACCAAAGGTAAAACCAAGGAAGTAGTTTCTGCTCTTCTTTCCACTTAGAAAGCTCTTATGCAGTTTTTAGAAAACCATCCTTAGCCCTTACTCCCAACCTTAGTTATTTTGATTAATGTAACCTGATTCTTGTTGAGCCACATGGTGTTTTAAGTGAGAAAAAAATAATTGAGGTCTACTAATAGAAGACATATATTCAGTATTTAAATAATCTGATTTTGGATATTACCTTAGAATAGAATATAAGAGGAGACAGCTCTTTTCTAACATAGGGCATACCAGTATTGAAATAATTGTGACTCTGTGTCTACTGTGGACAAAAACAAAGAAAAAAGGCGTGACCTTCAAATGAGTAATTGGTGTGAGAATACTAGCAATGGAAAAAGGAGGGATCATCAAATTTTAACTCTTTCTTCTGTTTCACCATTCAGAGTCAGTATGTTGTCAAGTTCTTTTGGTCCCTGCTTCATCTCTCCTGGATTGTCTAAGCTACTTCTACCTTTGTAATGCATGTCCTTAATTCTTTGTTGTTTCTTTTTTTTAATTTTTAAAAATTTATTTTATTCTTTTAACATCTTTATTGGAGGATAATTGCTTTACAATGGTGTGTTAGTTTCTGCTTTATAACAAAGTGAATCAGTTATACATACACATATGTTCCCATACCTCTTCCCTCTTGCGTCTCCCTCCCTCCCGCCCTCCCTATCCCACCCCTCTAGGTGGTCACAAAGTACAAGCTGATCTCCCTGTGCTATGCGGCTGCTTCCCACTAGCTATCTATTTTACGTTTGGTAGTGTATATATGTCCATGCCACTCTCTCACTTTGTCACAGCTTACCCTTCCCCCTCCCCATATCATCAAGTCCATTCCCTAGTAGGTCTGTGTCTTTATTCCCATCTTGCCCCTAGGTTCTTCATGACCTTTTTTTTTTTCCCCTTAGATTCCCATCCAAAATCCCACTACCTGTTAGTAGTGAAGCTGGGGTTCCCTCTTCTTCTGAGCCTTAGTCTAATTCTGGAATTCTTCAATTGGATGTTTAAAGTGTTTGCTAACTTAATGCAAAAAACGGATTTTCATTTACCTCCTGTGTTTAAAACATTGTTTCAAGCCATAATGTGGTGTCTTGGTTTTTTCGTTACCACAGTGGAAAAAACACATGAACTAAGTTCTATAGAATTTTTTAAAAATGTTTTGTTTCTCTGAAAATAGTTGATCTACTTTAGTTCTTCATTTCTAGATTTTTAAATTACAGCTGTAAAATATTGACACACCACTGACAAAAATGAAGCAGAGAAAGTGAAGATTAACAGAAGTGAAAGTAAAAAGGTATTGCAAAATTAAAGAGACACATGAAAGTCTTGCTTTTTTGAGAACAGCAAGAATTTCTCTTCTCTTTAAGCATTTGTGTTGAATGGCTGTAAATCAATCAGTGGAATTGCCAAAATGCCAAGTAGTCATTTGGGCTCATTGTTTTAGAAAATTTTATAATAATTTGAGACAATTTCTGTTTTATTTGTTAGGATCAAATACTAGTTTTTCCATATGCATTAAAGAGTTAAATAAAGTCCTAATAGATTTCTGTGGTAACCCAGAATTTTAATTCCCTGAGGGATATATTGAATAGAAATACTGAATGACTATACTGAAGCTGGTCAGACTACAGTGACCTTTTTGTTCGTGTCCTATATCTGTCAGTAGGAACGGAAGACGGTGGAATTCTGACCAGCTGACAAGCATTGCGACCTTGGGAGGGCTGCTAATCTCTCTTACTATGATGTTCATTTGTATAAAATGACAATAATAATACCTACTAGAGTAGTTGTGAGGATTAAATAAAATAATGTATTTAGTGGTTGAAATATTGCAGAGCAGGTATTCACTATAAGTGGCCTGTCTCTTAAACCAACTATAAAAAAAAAATCACGTTCAGATGTTATCATTTTTGAGAACGTTCTCTGACTCCTCACTTGTTTGCTCCCTTCTCTGTGACGTCATAGTTCTCTGCATTATTTAGCTCTCTTATAGAACTTATCACACATTGTTTCCTGACTGATTTAGAATCTCTCTTCCAATATTCTCAGTCCCACCAGGACAAGTCTTCCTTTCTCACTTCATGAATCTGTGCTACTCCTGGTGTAGGTCTAGCACAACTTCCAAAAAACTGTTTTTGGGTCAATGAATGGGTCACATGGATAGACTGTCTAGACCAGATCTTGAAGGAGCCCTAGTGACATATGTACTGTGGAAAGGCACTATTATGTTCCGTAAGTGACTCTTTTTCACTCCCATCCGAATTAACTAACTTCATACAACTACAAAACTTTGAGAAAGAGTATAAAAGGAACTTAAAATTTTTTTCCAAGTCTGATAGTAATTCTAAACCTTAATTGCATTACTTTTTCATTTTCTCTTGGATTTTGCAAACCTCAGAAATTTGGTCTCAGTTTTACTTATGATTTAGGTAAATCGAGAGAAAAACTTAAGCCTGAAGGTCAACATCTCTGCAGAGTTTGATAAATGTGGATGCTGAGTTTGATGGTGACTCAAAAGATTCAAGAAATCATGATAACTTTACAGTTCTTAATCATGAAACCTAAACATATATCATATTTTCTGTAGGCAAAATCCCAAACTTGTTACCTGAAGGTTCTATAGATGCAGAGACCAAGATGGTCCTGGTGAATGCTGTCTACTTCAAAGGAAATTGGAAAACTCCATTTCAGAAGAAATTAAACAGGCTTTATCCTTTCCGTGTGAACTTGGTACGAGACAATGAGACAGATTTTCTTAACGTATATTTTAGGGCCTTTGACAAAATAGAGAAAGAAAAGTTAGGGACCACTCACTGATACTTGTACATAATTCGCTAGTTATAAGTTATGCACATTGGATAGTTGATTGACTCTATTCCATTTTTTGACCTGTCAAACTAGATTAATAATAACATCCAACTCAAATTATTGTTGTAAGGATTCAACAAGATTTTGCAGAGTTCTTGGCCCCTCGTAGGTACTCAACAAGCGTTTCAGTATTATTATAATTATAATTGTCCATCTTATTACTAATGGGTATAATTTTGAAAAAGCTAAATAGATCAGAGCCACTGTCAGGGTATACAAATAATTTATTTTGTTGATTTTTAGAAACATAGCTCTTCAGAATGAAAGCAGAACCCATTCTCTTTTACGTCTGATTGTAAATCTTTTGACATCTTAGTATCTACTTTCATATTTTACTTTTTAATAATTTTAGACTGAGCGCAAAGAAGTACAGATGATGTTCTTGCATGAAAAGCTGAACATTGGATACATAGAAGACCTAATGGTCCAGATTCTAGAACTGCCCTATGCTGGATATGTCAGTATGTTCCTGTTGCTTCCAGATGAAATTGCTGAATGTTCTACTGGCCTGGAGTTGGTAAGGCATTCCAACTTCCATTGTTTTAAACTTCTGGGGCTAAACTTACCTTGGCAGATGTCTACAACTTGGGAAATGGTGTGCAGTTTCTCATGGAAATATGTGAATTGGTTGAGAGGAACAGTGCCAGGTCTCACACTTTCATTCAAAGGCTTAAACTTATGTCATACATGCTACTTTCTTGCAAAATTTTTACCAAACTAGTAAATTTTAATATCACCCACGCTATAGTGAAGTTAAAGTCCCTGATTGTTAGCATTAGAAGTTGTTTTCCTTCTCTGCTAAGCACTCATTGGTTTTGCTTTTGGACTTGTAGCTGGAAAGTGAAATAACTTATGACAAACTCAACAAGTGGCTCAGCGAAGACACCATGGCTGAGGATGATGTGGAGGTGTATGTCCCCCGGTTCAAATTAGAAGAGCATTATGAACTCAAGTCCATTCTCATGAGCATGGGCATGGATGATGCCTTCAGCCAGGGCCAAGCCAATTTCTTAGGCATGTCTGAAAAGAATGACCTGTTTCTGTCTGAAGTGTTCCATCAAGCCTCTGTGGACGTGAACGAGGGGGGCACTGAAGCAGCTGCTGGCGCTGGGGCCATTATGTCAGGGAGAACTGGCCATGGAGGCCCACAGTTCGTGGCGGACCATCCTTTCCTCTTCTTTATCATGCACAAGATAACCAAGAGTATCCTCTTTTTCGGCAGATTTGCCTCACCCTAGTTTCCGTTTCTGCACAGGATGCTGTACTGTGAGGTGTAAGCCTCAGAATTGCTCTAAGCGCCGAAACTTTAGCAACCTTCTGTACATATTTCTGTTTTTCTGAACAACTTCTATTACAGAGTGAATATAAATACAGAAGTAGCGTGACATCTGTCAGTCATAACATTACCACCCTGTTAATCATTTGGTCTCCTAAAATGGGAGGATATCTCATTTAGTTCTTCCTTACTCTTAGTTTATTTTATCGCATTACCTTTTACTGTATTATTTATTATTTTATATAATGGCTTTTTATTATTGTTCACTGTCTAGTGTAGCTGATACAGTTACAGAAGCATGTCATCACTTATTTTTCTTTCTAAGGAAATGCACTTATTTGTTCTTATAATGAAGGACGAGCAGGTGTCCTTCCATGCCCTTCTGTGATAAAAACCTAGAAGAAAGCATTGAACAATAGGAAAATATAAGTGGTGTGCATTTCTAGCATTATGTATCACATAGATGTGTCCGTAACTTATGGAAGGTTGTGAATATATAAAATATAGACATGTTTCCACACAACTCTTTGTTTGTTGTCATTCCTTTAGGTCTTTAGGTCATAAGACCTGTTTATTTTGATTCTCAGGAATCAGGTATCATGGCTCATTTGTGAGAACGAAGAAAAAATAAACAGAATAAAGGAGCCAAAGGAGAGGCTGCTGTATAGCACAGGGAGCTTAGCTCAGTGCTCTGTGATGACCTAGAGGGGTGGGATGGGAGTGGCGGGGAGGGAGGCGCAAGATGGAGGGGATATGGGGATACATGTACACATATAGATGATTCACTTTGTTCTACAGCAGAAACTAACACAACATTGTAAAGCAATTATACTCCAATAAAAAAAATGACAAAAAAAGGAGCCAAAGGAATAAGCGACCGTCTTGCAAGGAGCCCCAATGTTGGCGGGGGAGATGGAGTTGTGGGAAAAATGGATTAGAGCTGTCTTCTGACAGCAGCAAAAGGTATAGCAATTCAAAAGAATAGCTTGGGTCAGAGTCCTTTGGGGACACCTGTGTTCAAACCTCAAGGACATCAGGAATAAACACCAAGTCTAGTGGTCCAGACATAGAATAAAGGTCATAATCATTGATTGAGGTGAGCGTTCAGAGGGGTAGAGATGAACTTGGCTCAAGAGCAGAAGGGCAACATACAATGGGAAATATTGCCTAAGTGTGTTCTCCTCAAATAGCACTGAATGCTTTTGAGTGGATCAGAGAAGAACATAATTTAAGTCCTAAGAACAAAGGAAGGGCTTCCCTGGTGGCGCAGTGGTTGAGGGTCCGCCTGCCTATGCAGGGGACGCGGGTGCGTGCCCTGGTCTGGGAAGATCCCACATGCTGCGGAGCGGCTGGGCCCGTGAGCCATGGCCGCTGAGCCTGCGCGTCCGGAGCCTGTGCTCTGCAGCGGGAGGGGCCACAGCAGTGAGAGGCCAGTGTACCGCAGAAAAAAAAAAAAAAAAAAAGAATGAAGGAAGACCTGAGGTTTAAGGGAGCTGAGCTGGCTGCAGATTCTGGCTACAGAAATGTGGCTGGATCCTGGAAATGTATTCCGGTGTCACCGTCCCTACGATGAAAGCCAGGGATGGGTGACCTACTGGAGCATGGTAGCTAAAAAGGTAACCTCAGGACATTGACTTAACTGCATCCAAATCCCAGTTCTAACACTTAGGAGTTATTTAACCACAAGCCGGGAAATGATGCTTCTTCATGCTTCAGTTTTCTTTCAGTGTAGACTAGGGAAAACAATGCTTTTCTCATAAGGTTGCTGTGATGGTAAAATGAATTCATACAGAACAAGCAATTAAAAGAATGCTTAGCATGTACAGTACTTAATACATACTAGTGATAACGATTCTTTTCTTTGTCAGTAATAAAACTGTCTCACTGTCAGCTGGTCAAACATAGAGTCCCAGAAAATTATTCTTATAATTCTTTAAGGCTTGAATTGTGGTTTGTTTCCTCTAAATCAGACGTTCTTGAAAATTAGGGGTTCTTCCTTGCATTCTCCTACTTACTTTTAGATTCATATTTTAAATGTACTTTAATAATTCACTCAGCAATGCGATAAGTAGTAACTTTCTGAATTGTTGTGAGTCTTAAGATATTCATATTTCACCATGATTATTGAATTAGAGCACGAGTATAGAGTTCTAGGTTCAAAGCATTCTTCAGCACTTTAAGGGCACAATTTTATCATCTCCCAGCACCAAAGTTGCGGATGGGAAAGCTGATGTCAAGATAATTCTTGCTTCTTGTAGTTTTAATTATTTTATTTTTGTTTTTGATGATGTTCTTGATATTTCATTGCATTAAGAGAAGTTTAAACTGTTTTAAAATTTTATCTCGTTCATCAGGAGATGTTTTCCATCTGGAAACTTGTACCTTGGTTCATTGCTGGGGAACTCTCAGCCGTTGCTATGGCCCGAATGTTTGTTCCCCCAATACATGTGCTGAACACCTAATCCCCAATGTGATGGTCTTTGTAGGTGGGGCCTTGGGGAGGTAATTAGTATTAGAATTAGTCATGAGGGTAAGTCCCCGGGATGTAATTAATGTTCTTATAGGGAAATGAAAAAACAAGAGCTCTCAACCAAGTAAAGACAAGTAGGCAACCATCTGTGAACCAGGAAGACAGCCCTCAGCAAGAACCTGATCACAGACCTGCAGCCTCCAGGACTGTGAAAAATGAATGCTTGTTGTTTAAGCCACCCAGTCAGCAGTGCTCTGTTATGTCAACACAGACTGAATAAGAAAACCATTATCCACTCAACTCTCTCAGCCCCACTCTATCTACTCTCTTCTTCTGGATTCCTATTTGAATAATATTAATGTACCTAGAGTTCTTTTTTCGGTTCTAAAAGATTTTGAATACCTAATAAATTCATGCAATCTCAACATCAAATATGAAAAGACTAGAGCAAAAACTCTCCCTCCCACCCCCGTTTCCCATTCATATAGTTCCTACTCCCCCATCCCCATTAGTAATATCTGTACATATTGCTAAATATTCATAGGGCAGGCCACAACTAACAACAACAAACAAGCAAAATTATGCTGAGATTATTATATTGTTAACTTAGGATACCATTACTCCTTTCTCTTTCCCTGCCCCCTCCAAACAGGCATCAAAATAATGCAAAACCGGGCTTCCCTGGTGGTGCAGTGGTTGAGAGTCCGCCTGCCGATGCAGGGGACACGGGTTCGTGCCCCGGTCCGGGAAGATCCCACATGCCGCGGAGCGGCTGGGCCCGTGAGCCAAGGCCACTGAGCCTGCGCGTCCGGAGCCTGTGCTCCGCGACGGGAGGGGCCACAGCAGTGAGAGGCCCGCGTACCGCAAAAAAAATGCAAAACCAAAGTTTTATCAACATAACAATATATCAATATATAAAGATTTTAAACAAGAGGTAAGTGGAAAGCAATCTGAAGAAGGTTTGTGGGAAAGCATGAATTAAACTTAGTCTGTGTCTTTAGAGACGATGAAACAATTTCTTGGCTGGTTTCCCAGAATCTATATCGATGCATTAAATGTGACATAAATAACTAGAGCTGTGCGGTGATGCAGCCCAAGTCACTCTCTGGACCACTGGCAGTCAAGATGGACAGCCCCTCTATCTAGAGCCTCCATATGATACTTTCAGCTAATAATAGTCTGCAGGCATCCTGTGGATAATAACATCTGTTCAGCACATGTCAGGCAGGCACCACGGAATTTGCAGCCACAAGTTGCATCCCCCAGTGAAATTCAAAGCAACATTCTGCTCTGGGTTCCACATCAACATTCAACTATTAAACTCTGAGCCACTTTACCACGTGTGCCCCATGAAGAGAAAAACAGAAACTGCGTGAAGAAAAAACACACAAATACGTTATAAACAAAGATAATTCTCCTTTCCCTCAGTCCCTTCTGGACTGTGCTCCATTCCCGTCTCTCTCTCTTCACCCCCTTCACCATTCCTCCATGCCCTGCATCCTGTTATAGACAGTTTTCCCTTCCTAATAAATAAGGAGGAACATTCACAGGGAGAAACAGAAGAGAAGCAGAAAGTGATGAAGTAACATTTCACCCAGTAACTGTGTCTAAAACGTCGATCCAGACCCCATGTCCCTGGGGTGGGGACAGTGGACATGGGACAAGTTGGGGTTGTGCTCGGGGTTCTACACCAACACCCAAATGAGAAGAACAGAAACATTTCTTGGGTGCTTCACCTAGTACCTTATGAGCAACTTTAACAGTAAACAGTTCACCAATCATATTCTCCATTTCCTTGCCCATTGTTATTCCACTAATTTAAAACTTTCTGTTGTTGTTGAAAAAATAAATCTACCCGGGAAAACCACATATTGCTGCCAGTTGGCAGACTCGAGAGGACATAAGCCAGGAAAGTGTGAGTTACAATTTGTTAGAATTCCAGTCTGTACATGCAGACAGACATGGAAAATGTGGGTAATTAAGTAATTCAAGCAAAACTCTGTCTATCTCTCTGTCTTTTTATTTGAGCTTCTGGCCAAGATGAAGTTGAAAGGAAGAGTGTATGGGCTTGTGAAAGTGAATCAGAGGGTGGGGTTAAGGAAAGGGTGGTGCTAGAAGTTTTAAAAATTATTTCTACAGTTAAAGGTCACTTAACTCAGCCACGGTCTCTTACTAAAGGAACCAGTTGCCAATTCTGCTCCCGTGTAAGAAAACAAGGTATTGTAAATAGTTCTTTGTTTTAAAATGTTTGTTTATATTTTCTTTCTTTGTTGAGGTACCTAGCTAAAGAACAATTTATCGGGACTCCCACAAAACAGAAATAATAGATGAAGGCCAGCCCCCAGGAATTCTGTGCAGGTCTGAGAGATTGAACCCTGAGCTGATTCAAAGTTGGTACTAGAAAGCGGGCTAAGCGGGAGAGAGCATTCACTTCCGAACACGTCAGAAAGGTAGTTTTGCCGTGAATTGTGAAACTATGAATGGAGTTTTCTCCAGTCACATTTTTGGATTTGCTACCTTTGTATCTGTCAACACAGGTAAAAAGAAATAGGGTATTCTCAGAAGTATTGAACCAAAACCCTTCTAACCCTTCAGAAGAGCGGACTTGGCAACATGAATTTGAGCTTAGTCACTAATGTAGGGAACTAATGATTTGACTCTCTGCCCTCCCGCCCACGCACACCTTCATGTCTTGGCTACCATTCCATGGGCCATTAGCTTTCTTCTCTTTCGTGGAATAACCTAAGTCCCTAAGCTCACACTCCATGCTCATCATAAATCCTCCCAGACTATTAATTCCCTCAGAAGTGGCTTTAGGTAAATATTGAAGTGCTGCGGATTCGGGGGGGTCATTTTCTGATATGCACAACTCCACCAAGTAGACAATATCATCAGTATCATCGGAAAGTCAGGAGGCCTTGGATGTCCTCTAATGGAAAAGGGGAAGAGAGTCCTTCCCGCTCCCTCCTCCAGCTCATCATCATCTCTCTTTCTTCCTCCTCCTGTTCATCCTCTGTCGTCACCCAATCCCTCCCTTTCACCGTAAAACCTTAAAGACAGTAAGATATAATGACAAAAGCATCTGTATTTAGAGTCCAGAGAATGGGACTGCAACGATAGCTCTGCTGTTAGTTAGCTGTGCATGTTCGTCAGCACATTTAACCTCTCTGGGCCTCAGTTTCCTAGCAGATAAAATGAAGCAATTTGATTAGAGGGATTCCAAGGTTCTTTCCAACTCTGATTTGTGAAGAGTATGTGTATCTTTGATGAGACATATTGACGAGTGATACTATCCTTTTCTTATTTTCATATTTCTTTAGCTAAGCCCCTTTACAGATTGAGATTTTACCTATTTTACATATGTATGTATATTTATATGTATGTAAACTGATATATCCATGTACCTTCTGAAAATTGCAAAAGAGCCATTTATTCTGAAAAGGGCATAGTTGGCTTCTGATCTAGACATTTATAGTCTTTTCTGAAAAGATCATTGTCGAACCCTTGTATGGATAAATTATTTCATGTAGAATCTCATCCCCAAATTCTGCATCTTTCAGAAAGCACTTTTCACTGCCGGGATAATTTTATCCAGCACTGGCTGGCTTAGCACTTCTATACTGTTTTTTTAAAGGCAGGAATTATTTTTCTTGTATGGTCTGGGCTACACCTGATATATTAATGATATTAATGAGAGAATTAATGAAGTTGAAGATACCTGGATATTAACTTTCCACAAGAAATTTAGCTTTTTCATTAGAGAGAGTTATTGTTTTCAGGGATTTGTTACAAGTAACTAAACTTTAGAATAACCATAAATAATAAGTAGAAAGATAAAAATCCTCAGCCTTAAAATGGTAGTTTCTCCTCTCCTCCCTTCATAGTGATTATGCTTTGGCCATGGAGCCAAGCATTTTCCATATGAAAGAATTCATGAGTTCTTAAAAGATAAAGCTTAATATACAGGCAGTAAGCAAAGCATCATTTGAATGAATATAGCTGTAAAGAAAATAGGGAGGTTGTTTACAAGACAGCATTGGATCTGTCAAGGGAAATACTGATACACAAGTTTCGAACATTTTATGAGGGCGTAGAATTGCTACAAGAGTAGAGGTTCTTGCTTTTCTTCTTTAATAAGATAATGTTAGCCTAGGATTATCATCAGCTTCTGAAATAGGTGGGAGCTATGACTAGGGATGATTTAGAGGCTGGGAAGCTGTTTGGTTAAGTGTAAGCCTATGACTAGGAGGGATTTCAACAGTATCACTGTTAATCCAAGTCATGATGAAACCAAAACTTTGCCTACACACGCCTCTCCCTTCATTCAACCATTGAACTAGAGAGATCTTCTGACCTTTCTAAAGTTCTCATTCTAGGTTTCTCTGAGGGCCAGGTGATATCAGTGCAGGACCAAGTTCTATACGACATTGGCACTAATGGGAGTTTCTAGGCTTAGGAATTTGGTTTATTTTTAATCATTTAATCAGCTTGAGAAATTATTTGGCTATAAAATGACAATAGATTGAACTCACTATTTCTTTGATAGAGACTCAGTCTAAAAAGACTTAAATGAAAATATCAGGGTAATTAGACGTGAAATTTAGAAGGTGAATATAATATTTTTAAAAATGAGAAAGTTTGAGTTCCTTTGTTTGTTAAGATTGGTTTCAGAGGGTCTCACGTGAGTGAGGATAAAGGCAAGCAAGTCTTGAGTTCTCTACTTCTCTATGAGCATTTCCACTAAACTGTGAAAGATTTCAAGTTTAAATAGATAAAAAATGGTGGCTGGAGCCCAAACTATAAATGCTCTAAAAGAGAAATAAACAAGTATTTGTAAGTTTTCATTTTGTGCAAAGTCCTGAGGTGGGTGTTACTGGATGCGCAAAGCTGAGTAAGAAAATTTTGCTCTCAAGGAAATTATCCTAGAGTTGAAAAGATATAAATCTATGCAAACAGAACTAGCAGTATGATAAGCTCCAAGCAGGCGGCAAAAGCTATTTTATGGGTCTTTGGTGGAAGACGTGCTCCTGTGAACCCCAAAGTTCAGAAAAGGCTTCCAGAGGGAAAGAAGATCCGGAGCAGAGTTGGATTTCAAGAGAATAAAGGAGGATAAAGGAACCAAGATATCATACATCAGGGTGTGAAGGAATAAAAAAGGTTAAAAGTATAAAAATATGGATGAAAGATAAGTGAGAAAAAGTACAAAGTTGAAAAGGGGTATAATTATTCCTCATTTACTGGGTAAAGTCAGTAGGCATGTGGTGTGTTGGTAAGAGGCACTGGGCTGATTCCTCTGCCATTTATATCCTGGCATTTTCAACAGGGAGCCGCTAACTGACCAGAATCCAATTGTTCTCTCATGTGAACTAACTCTGAAATTTGAGCCAATTCTCTTAAACTCTCTGGACTTCATTTTTAAAATATTTAAAATAATGTTGGAGTGGAATTTTTCTAAAGTTTATTCAGCTCTTATGAGTGTACATATACATATTATATAAATATATATATATAAAATCAGATATATATATAATCAGATTGGATAATACATTCTTTTGTCATTTCAATGAAGGGTAATTAAAAAAGATAATTATGTAAGCCAACAAATCCATTTACAAAAGTTAAATAAATGGAAAGGATTATTAACATGTTCTCTAACTTTACTTTATTTTTCTTAGATTTTCCCAATGGACTCTCTAGCAAAATCTGTCAACCAATTTGCTCTGGAGCTTAGCAAAAAGCTAGCTGAATCTGCTGAGGGTAAAAATATCTTTTTTTCTCCCTGGGGCATCTCAACCTCCTTGGCCATGGTGTATTTGGGCACCAAAGGCACCACGGCAGCCCAAATGTCCCGGGTGAGTGAGAAAGGTCAACCATCCTCTGTTGCCTTAAAATGAAATGCTTTTCTTGTCTTTTGTTCACTCCTCTCCTGAAATCCAAATAGCCCACGTTTTACAACCACGTCCTCCAAAATAAAAGACACACTTTAAATAAATTTTCTAGACCATAAAAAGAAATCTGAGAAAGTGAATCAATTTGAAAACTCTTTCTAGGAATACCATTTAAGAACCGGTGTTCTTTGGCAAAATCAAATGGAGAGATGATGTTCCCTTACCCAGGTGCCCAGTGGGTAAGGAGTAAGGAAATTGAATAGGGAGAGGGACAGCAACAGGAAAAGTCAAGCTATCTTGTGATTTCAAGCAGTGTTTTCCCTGCCCATACCCAATGAATTCCGGGGAGCTCAGAACTTGGGCTTTGCCATTACTAAAGGCAAAAAAACAGCCAAGTGAAGTCTTAAAGACATTTTTATTACTGGTAGGTAGTCTCATGCACTCAGGTTTGATTCATAAGTAGGAGAGATGATTGAGCTGGGTGGGCACTTGGTAAAGAGAAGCACACAGAGATACAAAGTGGTACATGGAGAGGTTATCGAGTTTGGTTCAACACCAAAACCAATTTTATTTTGATTACTAAAATATTTCAAGAAAGTAATGGCTCATACTTTAAATAATAGAATTAGTCATCATCTTTCTAATCTCAGAAGGATTTTCTTGAAGAAAAAAATAGAAAAATCAAGTGAATCCTGTTCCTCATGCTTTGTTTGGTTGTTACTTTGTTTGGTCCCTGGTTGTCTAGATGAATCTAAAGAGCCCATTAAGGGCATTAAAATAGCAAAACAGGATTATTGTATAAGCAATTATCAATTTGATGTAAGCATCCTCAAATCATAGCGAGTGTATGTGTACATGTGTAGCCTTACACAGCAAAACATATCAAAGAGCCATATATATGTGTATCTGTATCTATGCTTGTGTAAACATATAAATATATGTGTGTGTTTTAAGTAAAAATAAAAATAGAAGAGAGTAAATTCAGCTCTAAATCATACAACGATTGAAAGGCCAAGTGACAAAATTTCCACCAAGAAGCTGGCCTCTGTGACAAGTATGGAAATGGGTACAGCCAGCAGTTCTGAATGAGACAGGCAGAATACATATTCTGTCAGTTTGGGTCTAGGATATCCCCCTTATGCTCATAATTTACAAGATATTGTGTGGTTTAAAAATAGCAACAACAAAATCTTGGTTCACAGAAAAATCCTGGTTCACAGCTAGTTAATAATTGGCTCATTATTAAAAGGTTTAACTATGAATGTGATAGACTTAACCTTAGATAAATGTCAATTTGCTTCCACTCCATATAAATATATTGCTGGGTGTTGCTTACCCTTGTTTTATTTCAATGTCACTGAAATATTAACAGCTTCAGTTTGCAATTGAGACTAATGAGTTGATTAGGCACCTCCCCCTTTTTTTCCCTATGGCAAGTGGTTCCTGTCTGTCGCCATGTGTCAGCACAAACTTCGGTAAAGTAGACTTTATTCCTTTCTGTAAGCTGGGTCCAGGATGCTTGCCGGAGATGGAATTATCACTTTGTTTTCTCAGGGGAAACAATGTCCACATCCTTCCTGTGACCTGTCACATGAATTGCTGGGGTGAAGACAAAGACTCTATCTCCATATGTCAGATGGTGGTAGGCAGTGAAAACTGAAGCGCTTAAGTAGAAAAAGCAACTAAAATTCCTGAATTTTCCAGATAACTGGGGCAATGGTGGCATTTGCTTAAATTATCTAAGTGATGGTCTCAGTTGAATACCTAGGCTTCTTTTCAAACCAATCATAGATAAAAATGAAACTCGGAAAACATGAGAATTTTACCTCTAAGGCTATTCCCAACATTATCCTCAACGTCCCATAAAAAGTATTAAAATAAAGAGACTAGCAATTTAAATTCAACTTAAAAATTTATTTAAAAGCAGCTCTTGACTTACTCTTATTAGGTCAGGTAACACACCATTTAAGTCAAATCAGCGCTCCCTTGGTTCATTAATTATATGTTTTGTATCTACAGGAACAAATGGCTTGTAGTTGCTGATGTGTATTTCATATGATTACATCTCTGCAAAGTGCATTCACATATTGCCTTTTTATTGAAATTACAGGTTCTTCAGTTTAGCAGAGACCAGGACAGCAAACCTTGTCCTGACAGTTTTGAAAAGAAAAGGAAAATGGTATGTCTTATATTTCAATATCCATTTGATAATTAAGGAGAGAGCACTTTAGCACGTTAGTGGCTAAATTAAGCAACCTTTAATAGGTAACTTTTCTTTAAAATATATGTTAAAATTATGGGAATTTTTTTTTTTTTTGGTACGCGGGCCTTTCACTGTTGTGGCCTCTCCCGTTGTGGAGCACAGGCTCTGGATGCACAGGCTCAGCGGCCATGGCTCACGGGCCCAGCCGCTCCGCGGCATGTGGACAGCAACAGGAAAAGTCAAGCTATCTTGTGATTTCAAGCAGTGTTTTCCCTGCCCATACCCAATGAATTCCGGGGAGCTCAGAACTTGGGCTTTGCCATTACTAAAGGCAAAAAAACAGCCAAGTGAAGTCTTAAAGACATTTTTATTACTGGTAGGTAGTCTCATGCACTCAGGTTTGATTCATAAGTAGGAGAGATGATTGAGCTGGGTGGGCACTTGGTAAAGAGAAGCACACAGAGATACAAAGTGGTACATGGAGAGGTTATCGAGTTTGGTTCAACACCAAAACCAATTTTATTTTGATTACTAAAATATTTCAAGAAAGTAATGGCTCATACTTTAAATAATAGAATTAGTCATCATCTTTCTAATCTCAGAAGGATTTTCTTGAAGAAAAAAATAGAAAAATCAAGTGAATCCTGTTCCTCATGCTTTGTTTGGTTGTTACTTTGTTTGGTCCCTGGTTGTCTAGATGAATCTAAAGAGCCCATTAAGGGCATTAAAATAGCAAAACAGGATTATTGTATAAGCAATTATCAATTTGATGTAAGCATCCTCAAATCATAGCGAGTGTATGTGTACGTGTGTAGCCTTACACAGCAAAACATATCAAAGAGCCATATATATGTGTATCTGTATCTATGCTTGTGTAAACATATAAATATATGTGTGTGTTTTAAGTAAAAATAAAAATAGAAGAGAGTAAATTCAGCTCTAAATCATACAACGATTGAAAGGCCAAGTGACAAAATTTCCACCAAGAAGCTGGCCTCTGTGACAAGTATGGAAATGGGCACAGCCAGCAGTTCTGAATGAGACAGGCAGAATACATATTCTGTCAGTTTGGGTCTAGGATATCCCCCTTATGCTCATAATTTACAAGATATTGTGTGGTTTAAAAATAGCAACAACAAAATCTTGGTTCACAGAAAAATCCTGGTTCACAGCTAGTTAATAATTGGCTCATTATTAAAAGGTTTAACTATGAATGTGATAGACTTAACCTTAGATAAATGTCAATTTGCTTCCACTCCATATAAATATATTGCTGGGTGTTGCTTACCCTTGTTTTATTTCAATGTCACTGAAATATTAACAGCTTCAGTTTGCAATTGAGACTAATGAGTTGATTAGGCACCTCCCCCTTTTTTTCCCTATGGCAAGTGGTTCCTGTCTGTCGCCATGTGTCAGCACAAACTTCGGTAAAGTAGACTTTATTCCTTTCTGTAAGCTGGGTCCAGGATGCTTGCAGGAGATGGAATTATCACTTTGTTTTCTCAGGGGAAACAATGTCCACATCCTTCCTGTGACCTGTCACATGAATTGCTGGGGTGAAGACAAAGACTCTATCTCCATATGTCAGATGGTGGTAGGCAGTGAAAACTGAAGCGCTTAAGTAGAAAAAGCAACTAAAATTCCTGAATTTTCCAGATAACTGGGGCAATGGTGGCATTTGCTTAAATTATCTAAGTGATGGTCTCAGTTGAATACCTAGGCTTCTTTTCAAACCAATCATAGATAAAAATGAAACTCGGAAAACATGAGAATTTTACCTCTAAGGCTATTCCCAACATTATCCTCAACGTCCCATAAAAAGTATTAAAATAAAGAGACTAGCAATTTAAATTCAACTTAAAAATTTATTTAAAAGCAGCTCTTGACTTACTCTTATTAGGTCAGGTAACACACCATTTAAGTCAAATCAGCGCTCCCTTGGTTCATTAATTATATGTTTTGTATCTACAGGAACAAATGGCTTGTAGTTGCTGATGTGTATTTCATATGATTACATCTCTGCAAAGTGCATTCACATATTGCCTTTTTATTGAAATTACAGGTTCTTCAGTTTAGCAGAGACCAGGACAGCAAACCTTGTCCTGACAGTTTTGAAAAGAAAAGGAAAATGGTATGTCTTATATTTCAATATCCATTTGATAATTAAGGAGAGAGCACTTTAGCACGTTAGTGGCTAAATTAAGCAACCTTTAATAGGTAACTTTTCTTTAAAATATATGTTAAAATTATGGGAATTTTTTTTTTTTTTGGTACGCGGGCCTTTCACTGTTGTGGCCTCTCCCGTTGTGGAGCACAGGCTCTGGATGCACAGGCTCAGCGGCCATGGCTCACGGGCCCAGCCGCTCCGCGGCATGTGGGATCTTCCCGGACTGGGGCACGAACCCGTGTCCCCTGCATCGGCAGGCGGACTCTCAACCACTGCGCCACCAGGGAAGCCTGGGAAATTTTTTAGAGTGCAGAATGTCTACACTTTTTGGAAGGGTAATATTCTTTTCCCTTATCTCTTCCTTTCCCTCCCCTTCAAAACTACTCTACTTTCAACATTGTTCTTACTTCTGCAAACTAAGTGTGAAGAAAATGATGTCCCAACAGCCATTACATTCCTGCACTAATAATACTAAAGAGAACATTTTTTTAATCTACCATACAATCGATTTCTGCCTATGTTCGTAAACTTTAAATCATTTCATTTACTATAAGTTGTTCTTATACACTTAGTTCTTGTTCAACATTTTTATTTAACCAATTTACTTTCTTTTAAAGGAATTCGATGTAGGCAAGGCTGAAGAAATACGTTCTAATTTCCAGACACTTATCTCAGAAATCAACAATCCCAGCAATGCTTGCATACTTAAAACAGCCAACAGGATCTATGGGGAGAAAACATATCCATTTCACAATGTAAGTGCAAACATCTTATTTCAAGCTGATGGGGAAGAGTCACATGAGATCAATCAATAAACTCTTTGTACTTTTCTCCAGGGATCCCAGGGACAATCTTAATGTATATGGAGTATGTGGTCAGCATTTCTGATAAACAATCATTTAGCCTGACCAATGTGTCAAGTTGTAAAGGAAACCAATAACATATTTCAAACCAAATCTGGTGATCAGATCTTTATGCCCAGAATAAAGGGGTACACCCCAGGAACAACCCATGAAGACTCGTAGAAATGTGGTTTATATAATCCCTGGGCCAACATTTGTTTCATGGGAAACAGAGCAAAAGATATAGAATAACTCAATATGGTGAGTCTGAAGGAGCAGAGGGTGGTGTGGTCATAGGAGTGTGGCAGGAGACTGTGTCCTCAAGAGCAAAGTTGACTTTGCGATCAGGTAAGTCACTTCACATCTTGACTTCAGACACTTTAAGAAAGATTCTTAGCATGGAATTGAATCAACTTCTCTTCTGCTCTGATGGTTGAGACACCCACAGTGCAGACCATGAGTTCATCTTCAGTTCAGATGCAAGGGCTCATCAGAGGAGTCAACTCCAAACCAAGCCAAGCATTTACTTCTTTCATGTTTGTCCATCACATCCTTTGGCACACTTCAGAAGAAAGCCAGAGGACCCAGGTGCCCAGTGGGTAAGGAGTAAGGAAATTGAATAGGGAGAGGGACAGCAACAGGAAAAGTCAAGCTATCTTGTGATTTCAAGCAGTGTATCCCTGCCCATACCCAGTGAATTCCGGGGAGCTCAGAACTTGGGCTTTGCCATTACTAAAGGCAAAAAAGCAGCCAAGTGAAGTCTTAAAGGCATTTTTATTACTGGTAGGTAGTCTCATGCACTCAGGTTTGATTCATAAGTAGGAGAGATGATTGAGCTGGGTGGGCACTTGGTAAAAAGAAGCACACAGAGATACAAAGTGGTACTCTTTTAAAATATCCACAAGCCCTAGCTGTGCACAGAGAGGTTGATCAGAACCCATGAATCAAGACAAGGAATAGGTACCTCGAGAATGTTTACGTTTTCTTTTTACTGGGTTATAAATTGTACAGAACGTAGACTTCATAATCTCCAAACCACTGCCTGGAAGCTGAATTAACTCAACACTTTTTAACTGCACACAATTCCTCCATAAAGTAATAAACTGAAGGAATGCCACAGCTGTCCCGGGGAATAAACTATGTTTCAAGGCAGGTGCCCTTCTAAGCAGCAACCTTGGTTATAGCCCACTTAGGATGATGGCCACTGAGGGTAGCATCAACAGCCCGAAGGAAGAAGCCTGCTTTTTCCCTTAGAATACCTGACGAAACCTTTGACCGGTCTTGGAAATCGGTTTCCATGGCAGCCCATAGTTTCCCTCAGAAGCCCTCCCCAGGCTCTTGGGTGTTTAGAGTCCATAGACAGCAGCTGCCAGACCCGGGGTTCTTAATCTGGCTCCATCTCTACCACAGAAAGCCCAGTACTCCTTGGCTGGAGTCGCTCCTGGGATTCCTAGAATGGTCCTCCTTTTCATCCCAGCCCCATTTCCCAAGGACGAATAAAAACAGATGAACATGTGGAGGCTCCAGAGCTGTGGGAGACGGGCCTTCCTTCCATACCTGCGGCTCTGCATGGCTAGTCCGTGCCTAGCTAAGTTTACACAGGGCGATGTTTAGTTTCTAACCAAAGCTGGAGTGTGGAAAGATTGAGGGGAGCAATGGGGTGGCAGTTTGCAATTGTCCATCTAGCTGGGGTTTTTTTTTTTTTGGATAATCTAAATAGACTTGTTTATTGATTCTGGAAAAATTCTACAAAAGGAGATTTTACCTATATCTTCCAGAAATATTTACAAGACATGAAAACATACTTTGGCTCAGAGCCACAGTCTGTGAACTTTATGGAAGCTTCTGACCAAATCAGAAAGGAGATCAACTCTTGGGTTGAAAGCCAGACTGAAGGTAAGCCTTCTCCAAGGTACTCAGCAGTGCGCTTTCTCCAAGTATTGCTTTATTATTTTGAATTTGTGTTATGTATAAGCATAGGCATTTCTTAAATAGAACTGTGGACACATTCTAAATATTCAAAACATTTGTTTTATTCATGCCCATAATTTTTGATTTATAGCTTTTGCAATAAGTCTTATCTAAAACAGATAAGACAACCATTTTACCAAGTAGACAAGAAAATGATCAGATTCCACTGATTCCAAGGAGGACTCCAGGGATAAAAGGCAGAAAAATGCAAAAAAGGAATTCTGGAATGCTGCTGCACTTGCGGTTTCTAAAGAAAAATAGCTCCTGATGAACAATGAAAATGTGGCAGTAAATGTACTACATAACCTTAAGTAAGTTTCAAAATAGGTCATATATTAGCTTAGAGTATGGGCTGAGCTCTTGTAACAAAGAGACCCAAAATACAATATCTTAATAAGATAGAAGTTTATCTCTGACCTAATAGTCACAAGGTAGATAAGCATACTGTTCCATGAAGGCATCCAGAGACCCGGACTAGTGGGTTAGCTCTGCCATCCTCGAGACACGGCTTTTATATTTGTCTAAGGTGATTCTTACATTTGTCAGTTTTACAGTCAGCAGGAAATAGGGAAAATAAAGCCTCTTTGCTTTTAAGGGGATGCCCTGAAACTTTCACACACCAGTTCCACTCATACCCCAAATTTGGATACATGGCCCATTTTATGCTCTGGTGACCAACTTGTCCTAGTTTGTAATAAAGGTCTTTAAAATGTAGTTTTTAGCTGGGTAGCCACATGCTACCTAAAAGTTAAGCGTTCTATTTCTAAAAAGGGAATAGTAGAGGGATTCTCATAGGCGATTTAGCAGTTTTTTAGTATGATCCTTATTTTAGAAATGAGGAAGCTGAGGCTTTAGAGAAACTGTTACCAAGCTCAGATAGTTTAAAGCTTCAGAAATAGGACTGAAATCTGAGTCAGTTTAGCTCTGAAGTCTGAAGTCATTTCAATATTCCACGCTTCCTTTTCAATCGATATGTCTGTTGATGGTCCATTATATCTCACAAAGAAATACCAAAGGTGTAATCGCTAATGAATATTAATGATCAAGCCTTTGCTTTGCAGCAACGAACATGGAATGTTTAGGTAATCCCCCTCCCCCCAAACCTGAGAGTTCATTTGTATATTCCTGCCAGATATGCTTGCAGAGGGTCCCACATACTTCAAACTCGACATACTGAAGTCATATTCAGAACAGCTTATCCACACCTTGTCCTCTCCGTGCACTCATTCTCCATCCCGGCGGATGGGTGGCTACCACACTTGCCCAGATCAGAAGTCCGAGAGATACTCTAAATTCTCCCTTTTCCTTTGCCTCCTCCTGCGAGTTTCTGAGTTCATCTTTCCTTTCCAATCTCTTCCTCCTCTGCTCTCGGCTTTGTCATCATTTATCTGTGTTAATGCAATAATCTGTTTCTCATCTTGCTCCCCTCAAATGCAACCTCCATTCAGCCATCAGAACGACCTCCCTAAAATGTGAATTCGACCAAGTGGACCACGTACTCAAAATCCATCATGGTGCCCCACATCCTACAGGATGAATTCAAGCTGCCTAAACTGACATAGAAGGTCCAACAGGACCGTGAAGTCTTGTCTGTCTCTCCACTTGAACTCTTGTCATTCTCTGACTCAAAGTTGATACTCAGGAATTCTAAGTGGCACAGAGTCCCTGGAACTCCCTGTGCTACCTCACAACCCCATGCATTTGCTCATGTGTCCCTTCAATTCAAAACACGGTCCCCTCCCCTGCCACTCCTAGCCCCTTCATGGCCACTGGATAACATCTCAGGAGTTCCCTCAGGCATAATGTCCTCCCCTGGCTCCCAGGCTGAGCTGAGAGCCTTCTTGGTTGCTCCAAAAGCCCCCTGTGGGAACCTTTACCTTGACACTTACCACGTTGTTATTGAAATTAACTGTTGAAGTCCCTGCCTCCCCCACTAAACTCAAGAACGCCAAGGGCAGTAATACTATCTTATTTGAGTTTCTGCTTTGAATCACTAACAGATAACAGCCCTGCTCAGGGTAGCTATTCAGAGCAATGTTTATTGAAGTGAATTGAGGAAGTTGGCAGCCCTAAATTCTCAGTTCCTTTTTCACTGGACTAGTGACTCAGAAGCCATGGTGAGGCAAGAGTGACCATTATCCTTAACTTATGCCTGATTTGGATTCATCTAAAAGTAAGTCTGTTTTGAGAACTACAGATCAGCTAGCATTTACAGAAAGGAATTACTTGCACTGTTCCAGTTCACATGAGGACCAAATGTGATTCTATAAGCAAAAGCACATTGTAATATACAACACAAACTCAATGTAGTAGAAGTAGGGGCAAGAATAGTGCTGGAAGGCTTCCCTGGTGGCGCAGTGGTTGAGAGTCCGCCTGCCGATGCAGGGGACACGGGTTCGTGCCCCAGTCCGGGAAGATCCCACATGCCGCGGAGCAGCTGGGCCCGTGAGCCATGGCCGCTGAGCCTGCGCGTCCACAGCCTGTGTTCCGCAACGGGAGAGGCCACAACAGGGAGAGGCCTGCATACCGCAAAAAAAAAAAAAAAAAAAAAATAGTGCTGGAGCAGAACTAAATCTCAGCTCTCAAATTCCTACCCAGTGCCCACTCTGTTCTCTGGAAGACAGGCGGGGACCCTACAGACAGGAAGGCGGGGAGCAACTCATCTGCTATCTTTCGCCCCAGCAAAGCCTTTCTGAGCTGAGTGGAGAGTTATTGTCTGACACGGCGTAAGCTCGGTTTGCATAAGGATCCTTGCCGTGCTTCCCCCGCACAGGCTGACACACTCGAGGAGCATGACAGGATCCATCTCTCTAGATCAGGGGTCCCCAACCCCCGGGCCTGGGCCTATTAGGAACCGGCACGCACAGCAGGAGGTGAGTGGCGGGCAGGTGAGCGAAGCTTCATCTGCCACTGCCTGTCGCTCCCCGTCGCTCGCATCACCGCCTGAGCCATCCCCACACCCCGACTCCCAGCCCTGGTCTGTGGAAAAATTGTCTTCCACAAAACCGGTCCTTGGTGCCAAAAACTTTGGGGACTGCTGCTCTAGATTACAGAGCTGTCCGGATCTTCCTGTGATGACAGAAATATGCCATAAATCCTAGGGCTGCCATAACAAATTACCACCAACTGTGTGGTTTAAACCAATAGAAATATATTCTCTCATAGTTCTGGAAGCTGCAAGTCTGAAGTTAAGGTGTTAGCAGGGCCTTGCTCCCTTGGAAAGCTTCAGGGAAGAAACCGCTCCACGCCTGTCTCCTAGTTGCTGATGGTTATTGGCAATCCTTGGCTTGTAGGCACATCTCTCCAATCTCTGCCTCTGTTGATACATAACTTTCTTCTTTGTCTCTCCTATGTCTCCATGTTTTCACACTCTGTGTGTCTGTGTCCGAATTTCTCTCCCCTTATAAGAATACCAGTCATTGAATTAGAGCCCACCCTAATCCAGTATGACTTCATTTGAACTTGACTGCATCTGCAAAGACTCTGTTTCAAAATAAGATCACATTCACAGGGACCGGAGGTTAGGATTTAACATGTCTTTCTGGATGACACAATTCAGCCCACAAAAGTAATATTCTCACAAAAATTTATAAACTAAAAATTATCTTGAGGAAGCATCAGACAAACTTGAACGGAGAATTGAGCATTCTACAAATATTTTTCAGAAGTATCAAGGTCATGAAAGACAAAGAATGAATGAGGAACATGGAAGACAAAGAATGAATGAGGAATGAAAGAAAAAGACTAAAGGGGACTAAAAGGAAATGACAACTAAATGCAACTTGAGCTCTTGGATTGATTTCTGGTCCAGGAAAAAAAGGACTTTATTGGAACAAGAGATGAAATTTAAATAGGATCTGTTAATAATATTCTATTAATACTAACTTCCTGGCTTGGATCATTGGTGGATACAAGATGTTATCATTTAACGGTATTTCATAATCATCATTTTTATGTATGGCGTTTCACCAGGATGTAACTACATCATTTGAAATCTGTCCTTTTGCTCTTTTAGGAAAAATCCTGAATCTCCTACCTGATAATGCTGTGGATTCTGCAACCAGAATGGTTCTGGTAAATGCCCTTTACTTTAAAAGAATCTGGGAACATCAATTCTTGGTCCAAAATACCACAGAAAAGCCTTTCAGAATAAACAAGGTAGGAACCTGTTAATAACCAGTATGAAGTTTTACATGGCATTGCAAAGGGAATTCTATTTTAAATTTATTCTCTCTGACTATATGCTCCTGTAAACTATGGTTCTTACCAGGGCAGGGATGACTGTGCTAAAAACCCCAGTTCCATCCTACCTGGAAATTCCCCTTTCATTATTTTTTCTCTGAAAATAGACTATTCACATATTTTATTACTCAGTCCTTGCTGCAACTATGGTAGAGTAGGTAAGGTAGTTATTACATTTATTTCTCAGGTTAGAAATGCAGCATGGTTAAATGACTAGAGCCATGCTTAAGTTGAAGGCTTCCAGGACCATAACCCCAAACTCTTTGCTTACTAGTTCTATTCTTGTTCTATTAAGGCAGTACCACCGTGTACCAAACTCTTACCCTTCCATAAGAAAAAGAAATAAAATTTTAAAATCTTATTTCTTTTGTTAACGTTTCCTTCTGTGTTAGGACACAGCACACTTGTTTTTGATTACTTCAGCAACAAGGGAGACTAATGGAAGCTGACAGATACACCTAAGGGCTGGATGTGGCTGGGTCTTGGGACTTGAGTGGAAACAAGGATTCAAATGTTGTCAGGATTCGTTCTCTATCTTTCCAACTCTGTTTCTCCCGTTATTCTTCTCTCAGCCTGAAGTCTAACTTCCTCTGCGGCCCAGTCCACAAAGGCAGAACATGGCTACCCACATCTCCTCCATTCTACAGACCAGTCTGATAGGTCTCATTCCAAATTCCTAGGCAAGGAACCGATTGGCCAAAGATTGTTAACATATTTTGGTCCTGGGGTGGATCACCTCACATAAACAGTGCTGCTGAGGACCTACTGCTGTAACCATATGGTTGTGTGCAATAGGCGGTTTTCAGATAATTGGTGGGGTAAAGATGGGGAAGGACTGAACATATAATGCAATAGGCTAACTAGAAATGTGCTGGATAGTTACTTGGCTTAATATATTCACCAGGAATTTTCAGATGCAAGTGATAGAAAAGCATTCCAAACTAGCTCCAGTAAAATGGGCATTGTGTTCGCATTAGCTTATGCAACTAAGAGGAACTGGGAAGTCTGGGAGTGGGATCTTTGAATCTCAAACATAATCCATTTTCTCTGCCCCACCGCTGACCCCTCCTTTTTGCCTTCATTCTCTAACACTAAAGATGGAATTTATCCATATGACCAGGGAATATGACAGCCCCATATTCTAGCTTCACAACCCTACTACATAGACAAAGTCTTGGCTGCTAGCTCTAACAGAATGCTCCCAAAGAGGACTCCGGTTGGTGCCATTCATACACTTATCCTTGAGACAATCACTGTATCACAGAGTGTCCTGAATGAACAGCCCTGGTCACATGGCCACTACCTTAGCAGAACAGTACGATTTTGTGATGGACATTTAGCTCCACATAGAGTGCATAAATAACATACGTCTGAATTGCAGGGTTTTGCTTTTGTTTCACCATTGGCTTTACTAAAAATTCATAATGTCATGTATCTACCATTACAGTATCATACAGAATACTTTCATTGTCCTAAAAATGCCCTGTGCTCCAAACATTCATCCCTCCCTCTAAATCTCTGGCAACCACTGATCTTTTTACGGTCTTTATAGTTTTGCCCTTTTCAGAATGCCGTAGAAACAGAATTGCATAGTATGTAGCCTTTTCAGACCGTCTTCTTCCACTTAGCGATACGTATTTAAAGTTCCTCCATGCCTTTTTTATGGCTTGATAGATCATTTCACTTTGTTGCAGAATACTATTCCATTGTATGGATGTAGCAGTTTGTTTATCCATTCACCTTACTGACGGGCATTTTGGTTGCTTCCAGTTTTTAGCAATTATGATTAAAGCTGCTATAAACATTTGCATGCAAGATTTTGTGTGGACACGTTTTTAACTCATTTTGGTAATTACCCAGGAGCATAGTTGCTGGATCACATGATAAGACTGTATTTAGCTTTGTAAGAAACCACCGTACTGTCATCCAATATGGCTTCCATTTTGCATTCTCGCTGGCAGAGAATGTCAGTTCCACCCTCGCTAGAAGTTTATGTTATCAGTGTTTTGAACTTTTAGCCATTCTATTAGATCTGTAGTAGTGGTATCGTCACTGTTTTAATTTGCAAGTCCCTAAGGACATAAGATTGAACATCTTTTCATATGCTGTAGGTCTGCCTTTGGTGAGGTATCAGTTCAGATCTTTCACCTGTTTTTAAAATTGGGTTCCTTGCCTTATAATTGTTGAGTTTTAAGAGGTCTTTTCAAATTTTGGATACCAGTCCTTTATCAATTATGTGTTTTGAAACTCTTATCTCCTAGTTTATTGCTTGTCTTTTCATTCTCTTAGTGAATTTCAGTTTTATGATACTAAAATACCCTCACACAAAAACAAAAACCACAAATGTGTGTGTGTGAAATGCACCTTACTCAGTTTCGGAATCATTGGCATTTACATAGTTTGCACAAGACTCTTTTAAGTGTTTGGTAGAATCCAGCTTGCCATGATTTATAGAGGATGCCGTAACAGTGTCAGAGGAAGAAACTCCCACATCATTTATTGATGATGTTATCCAGTAGGACACATATTTCCAGAAAACAAGGTTTGAATAATTTTATTCAGCATTTAGCAGAGGATCACTAGCTTTGCCAGTGTCCCAGACTACTGGGAACCAATGATGCTAAAGAATTAAGGATTTGGTGGAACACCTCCCCAGTGATTTTGCTACATGTATTCTACAGACTACAAGCAAACCAGTGCAAATGATGTCCATGAAAGAAAAACTTCAAGTATTTTACATAGAAAAGCCACAAGCCATAGGCCTTCAACTCTTCTATGAGAACCGTGACCTCAGCCTACTCATACTACTGCCGGAAGACATCAGTGGGCTGGATCAGGTAAAGGGATCAGTCTATTCACCCCTACCTTCGTTCCTCTCCCCTTTGGTAACAAGTTTATTTCCTATATCTGTGAGTCTGTGTCTGTTTTGCATATACATTTATTTGTATGGAGAAAAACTTTAAAAAAAGACATCAGTCTGTCTGACACGAAGAGGGTTCTAGTGTTGATCCCTCCGGGGAAAAACATAAAGACATGATCTCCCAGTTCTTTAATTTCTGCAGAGGAAGGCAACCAACGTACCTTGAGCCCTAGGTACTGTATTTTTACATCATTTAAGCTTTACAAAACTTTGTCAGGTTGATATTACTATCCCTCAGGAAGGTTAAGTAATCTATAGACATCTTTAGCATAGGGGAGTCACACAAACAACCACACAAACAACAGATAGAGATATTTATTGTCAGTCACAAAGCTGTGTGGATTGATCATAACAACCTTTCAGTCAATATAGGTCTTTCTTCTCCTTCCGATAGGACTTACCTAATTAATTTTTTAATCACTTGCATTAATCTAGCCTTAGACATATGTTTAAAAACATTAAATGGATTACTTTTTTTTTTTTTTTTTTCGGTACGCGGGCCTCTCACTGTTGTTGCCTCTCCCGCTGCGGAGCACAGGCTCCGGACGCGCAGGCTCAGCGGCCATGGCTCACAGGCCCAGCCGCTCCGCGGCATGTGGGATTTTCCCGGACCGGGGCACGAGCCCGTGTCCCCTGCATCGGCAGGCAGACTCTCAACCACTGCGCCACCAGGGAAGCCCCTAAAACATTTTTAAAAAACATTTTTTATCAAGTTAACACTCTTCAGGAGATATAGTCTGTATCAGTGCATCTTCAAGTATTATTTAAGTTGTTCATCTGTTAAACTTCTCTTAAGCCTGACTTTGGTCTGACCACATTTCTGAGCAATTTGCATGTCTAAACTGAACACTAGCTTCTCATGCAACAAGTGTTCTGTCGTTCTTTACACTGTGCCTAATTTCTTGTGTGCCAGATTATTTAGGTTTCCACCACCCTACTAGTGTGTAGAAAGATTTCTAAATAGTGTCATAAAATTTGTGAAACTGGAGAGGATAGTAGAAATAAGACCAAGTGTGAATACTAAACCATTAGAGTTACACCCTTAAAAGATAAGCCTTTCTTTTTAAAAGTGCAGGTTCCTGACCTGAAGATATTGTCACTTACTGCACATAATTTACAAATATGTCACTGATAGCAATACTTGGATCTAGAAAATTCTTAAAGTAGCAAAAGCATGTGCTTTGAAACAGACAGGTTATTTAAAAAAATCAAACATTGTTTATCATATATATGTACGCATATGTGTATATAATATATATTTATTGTTTAAAAAATTTTAAATATAAAGAAGAGAAAAAGCACCCTCAAAACCACTATTTAAAATATCATTACTCTTGGGACTTCCCTGGTGGTCCAGTGGTTAAGACTCTGCGCTTCCAGTGCAGAGAGCGTGGGTTTGATCCCTGACTGGGGAGCTAAGATCCCACATGCCAAGCAGCGTGGCCAAAAGATTAAGAAAAAAAAAAAAGTCATTACTCTTAAGATTGGAGGATTTTCCTTTCTTTGTTTTTCTTTCCTTATTTTTTCGTAGTTTATAGTTACTAGTTTCATATGGGCGTGATTATATAGACATTTTACCTCAGATTTTGTTTTCAAGGAATTGTCTACTATGTTAATAAAACTAACGTTTTTTGTGTGCCCTGGCATACAACATGTCCTAGAGTATATGCTCTTGTGTTGACAACACCTAAGTGTATATTTATATTGACGTATTTGCACGTGTAGCTGAGGTCTTGCATATTATCATAGAAGCACTTCCATTTCGTATCAAGGTCTGACCTATATCCTGAGAACTATTAATCTGCAAAATGATTATGTCAAGGATGTGGGGAGGACCTCAGTATAAACAAAGCATTTCCAAATGCGTGTGTTTTGTTACCTTTGGCAATAGGAGTGACTATAATTCATTTATATAATATCTAAAGGTTTCACTCAACGAACAGTTCTCACTCCACTCTGAAATTACTGACTCTTTCTTCCTTGGCTCCAAACTAGCTGGAAAAAGCCATCACCTATGAGAAGTTGAGTGAGTGGACCAGCGCAGACATGATGGAGTTGTGTGACGTGCAGCTGCATCTTCCCAAGTTCAAGCTGGAAGAGACTTATGATCTCAAGTCAACCCTGAGCAGTATGGGGATGAGCGATGCCTTTAGCCAGAGCAAAGCAGATTTCTCAGGAATGTCTATGGAGAGAAACCTATTTCTGTCCAATGTTTTCCATAAGTCTTTTGTGGAAATAAATGAACAAGGTACAGAGGCCGCAGCTGGTACTGGGAGTGAGGTGAGTTTTCGAATTAAACTCCCCTCCGTTGAATTCAATGCAGACCACCCATTCCTCTTCTTCATCAGGCACAACAAAACCAATAGCATTCTATTTTACGGGAGATTCTGCTCCCCTTAAACCCTGCATCTCTCTCATCAAACAAGAGCATCTTACAGTGTGAAAAATACACATATGATGGAAAAACACAATTATAATAAAAACCAGTTTATAGCCTGGCTCTTTTTAACATATAAATATTAGCAAAATTATCTTGAAGTAATATATTCTAGTTATCCTATCATGCCTATATAGCTAGAGAGAATGGCAAATTTAACTTTTTAAACTTTTTTTTTTTGCTGACATTCAGTTTTATTATTTTTTACATCTTTATTGGAGTATTAATGCTTTACAGTGTTGTGTTAGTTTCTGCTGTATAACAAAGTGAATCAGCTATATGTATACATATAACCCCATATCCCCTCCCTCTTGCGTCTCCCTCCCACCCCTCTAGGTTGTCACAAAGCATTGAGCTGAGCTCCCTGTGCTATGCGGCTGCTTCCCACTAGCTATCCATTTTACATTTGGTAGTGTATGTATGTAAATGCTACTCCCTCACTTCGTCCCAGCTTCCCTTTCCCCACCTGTGTCCTCAAGTCCGTTTTCTCCGTTTGCATCTTTATTCCTGCCCTGCCACTAGGTTCATCAGTATGTCATTTAGATTCCATATATATGTGTTAGCATACGGTATTTTTCTCTTTCCGACTTACTTCACTCTGTATGACAGATACTAGGTCCATCCACCTCATTACAAATAATTCAATTTTGTTCCTTTTTATGGCTGAGTAATATCCCATTGTATACATATGCCACATCTTCTTTATTCATTCATCTGTCTATGGACATTTAGGTTTAACATTTTATCTTAATGTGACTTTTATTTACATTTCAAAAATTTGGTTATTCAATTGAATGCCTTAAAATGCTTGAACTACCTGGTCACTATTTTCATTGTCACTTATTTTCACATGCATCATTTAGTGAAGAAAAAAATCTTTATAGAGGTGATATATTGATAAACAAGAATTTTCTCAAGACTATTACTCTGATGGCTCATAAATTACCACTGTAAAATTAAATCCCCCTTTTCTGCTATTTTAAAAATACTTATGTTGACATTAATGGAAAAACTAGTGAAATCCAATGAAATCTGGAGTTTAGTTAATAGTAATGTACCAACGTTGGCTTCTTAGTTTTAAAAAAATGTTCCACTGTAATATTAGAAGTTAGCATTACAGGAAACTGTGTCAGAAGTATATGGGAATTCCCTGTTTTATCTTTGTAACTTTCCTGTGAATTTAAAATTATTCCAAAATAAAAATTTTATTGGAAAGAATTATTACGTATGAAAGTTGTCACATTAACATCCTTGCTTTTAAAAATCATAAGCTAGAAGACTAGATTTCCAATTTATATAAATGTGTCAGTCAGTTATAAGAAGATATCCTTAGTAAAACTTGTCAGTTATAAGAAGATAGCCTTAGTAAAACTTTATCTCCATAAAATTGGCTGTTTTCTTCTAATTTCTATTAAAAATGCTCTTACGCAATGGCTCGTTGGTAGTCTCATCTACTGTTATTCTACTTTTAGAGATTGAGTCTATCATTCTAGGCTGCTTTTTCCATTTTAATCTACTAAGTGAAAGATATGATCTGATATGGATCCAACATGAATGGTGTATAAACTAGTATAAGAAAATGTATTTTCTGCAGCAAATCTTGGTTTGGTATAATAGAATAAAAAAAAAAAGATTCTATGCTTTAGCTCCAAAGATAGGAAATTGTAATATATATGACAATTTATCATATCATTATAAAACATTTTGCCTCTATCCATAATACCTCACATTAAGTAACAATGAAAGAAATCCCCTGTGTCTGTGTTCTACTAAATTAAAAGTCCTTAAGTGTTATGTATCATGTGGACTCATAAGAGAAGTAGGTAACAAGTGAACGGGGAGCATGGAAACCAAGCCAAGATAAAGGAAGACCAGAGTAACTGTGTGTCAGAGGCTGACAATCAGAAAATATTAAACACAGTATTTTTCAAACAAACAAAAGGGGTGAAAAGGATGATACTAGAAACTGCACGTTAGTAAGATGCATTCAGGCAGTCATTCATTTAAAAAATGTTTGCTGACCATCTACACTGTATCAGTTGATATTCGGGGCATGAAGACTACACTTTTTTTTTTTTTTTCAAGGATTTATTGTATTTTATTTATTTATTTTCTCCAATTTTTTTTCTATTTCAGTATCACTCCTTTTCCTCTTCTTTTCTTTATGTTATTATTGTCCTACAACTATACACCTTTATGAATTATAAGCCCATGAACAGTTTCATAATTATTGCTTTATGCAGCTATCTTTTAAATCACATAGAAGGAAAAGTTACTAACAAGGATAAACTTATGCTGTCTTTTATACATATTTACCTACGTAGCTACTCTTACTGGTGCTCTTTGTTTCTTTGTGAGAATTATTGTTACTGGAAGACTACACTTCTGAACAAAAACAGACTCTGGTGTCCAGTCTCTTGGAGTCATGGAGCTTACAAACTGGTGGGAGAAACGGACTCAAAGTGGATGTCAGTGCAAGGAATGATTGCAAAATAAAGTGCAGTCATCTTGGAGACACATGTACCTGTGTGTGCACGTGCGTATCAGGCTTTTTCAATAATGAGGCTTAAAGTATTTGCTGATGATATTTGTTTTCCTCCCTTAGTACAAATGTATATAGCCTATCTTTTCAGAAGATTAACAGACCTTAGAACAATAGATAATAATCACGGCCTGTTGAGAGCTTCCGGGAAGATGGCGGAAGAGTAAGACGCGGAGATCACCTTCCTCCCCACAGATACACCAGAAATACATCTACACGTGGAACAACTCCTACAGAACACCTACTGAACGCTGGCAGAAGACCTCAGACCTCCCAAAAGGCAAGAAACCCCCCACGTACCTGGGTAGGGCAAAAGAAAAAAGAATAAACAGAGACAAAAGGATAGGGACGGGACCTGCACCTCTGGGAGGGAGCCGTTTCCACACACTAGGAAGCCCCTTCGCGGGGGAGACTGCGGGTGGCGGAGGGGGGAGCTTCGGAGCCGCGGAGGATAGCACAGCAACAGGGGTGTGGAGGGAAAAGCGGAGAGATTCCCGCACAGAGGATCGGGGCCGACCGACACTCACCAGGCCGAGAGGCTTGTCTGCTCACTCACGGGGCGGGCGGGGCTGGGAGCTGAGGCTCGGGCTTCAGTCGGAGCGCCGGGAGAGGACTGTGGTTGGCGGCGTGAACACAGCCTGCAGGGGTTAGTGCACCACGGCTGGCCGGGAGGGAGTCCGGGGGAAAGTCTGGAGCTGCCGAAGAGGCAAGAGAGTCTTTTTCTTCCCTCTTTGTTTCCTTGTGCGCGAGGAGAGGGGATTAAGAGCGCTGCTTAAAGGAGCTCCGGAGACGGACGCAAGCCGCGGCTAAAAGCGCGGACCCCAGAGACAGGCATGGGAAGCTAAGGCTGCTGCTGC